TATCATGCATACAAGGGACTCCGGACTATGTGTGTTCCTTCACGTCTTCCTACCAATATGACCATGTTGGGAAAATAAGGTCAAACAACTTATATACAACGAAAGGAGACTACTACCACACAAAAGGCCACACCATCTTGGTCTTCACACCTTTGATTAAACAAATTATTCTCCTCATAATTTTTGGTCTCCTTATTAAAACTTCTTGCACTTCTATATATTTCTTCTATAGTATTCCACTTTGCAGTTTTACCCAACGTATTCTTATAAAAATTTTAAGTTTTTGAAGTCCTTCAATCTGTTTTAGGAAAGGCTTAAAACATTTTCACTTAGGTAAGTTATTTAATTGTATGTCTTTATTTATGTTCCTTACTATAAATTTATTAATCACCTGACATTCATTAAGATTCCTTTTAATTTCTTTAAACTCTTTGCTTCTTCCATATACTTTTTAAATTTTGCAGGAACATCCCTTCAGTTAAGAATAGAATAAATAAATGCTTGTCTCAAACAAAATATACTTCTGCGACCAGTCAATTATTGGTTTACTATTCCCTCAATCCTTTCGAATAGTGCCTGAGTCTTACTGTGAATCATCAATTGCATGACTCCCCAATCATCAGAAAGCGCGACCAGTCTGAACATTACTTCCAATTATCTAGCCTTGTGGACTAATTAAGTATGGATAGATATTCTTCATAGCCATTGATAACTAAATAATCCATAGAAAATTGTATCATTCTTAACTAAGTATTTTTAAACTGGACTCCACGGAGAAATTTTACTAACTTATTGGTTACATAATAAATCTTTTCATGTTGGTTTAAAAAAATACTTAACTACTGCTCAAATTAATATAACTATTATTTCAATCTTTATCATCTCTGTGTGCTTAATTTTTCTCTGCTTTCCACTCTACCAACCCATTCCTCATCACAAACTTTAAGAGATAACTTGGTGGTATTGAGCCACCTTAAAAAAATGGAGGCGAGTCAATTAGTCTTTGGCCAGTCATGATTTTAATCACGTTCACACTTTCTATACGCCTTTGTCCATTTTTTCTCATACAGAGACTAAAAGCCCATCAGCTTAAGCAGGCATGGATTACGACGTTACTCAACTGGAGCAATGATTTAATAAATGATCCATTAAATCTTGATGATCGAGGACAGAGGTTACGGCCTGCTTTAACTACATTTAGTTATCACCTCTGGTTTCATTCTTTTATGCACATAAGCACACTTATATATACAAATACTCATTCTCCTTAGTTTGCCCCTTTCATAAACATGCATTGGCTTGGGGTATTTATAAAACATGTGGGGATAAGCAGGTGTCCTTCTTGACTCGTTAGCCTGAATTAATTTTAAGAACTATAGCCTGCAGTGGTGATCTCCTTCATATGGCAATCAAAGTTTTGCATTTTTTCTCTGGAAACTAATGAGATCGCTGTGGGAATAGCGCCAACGAGAATGTCCTAGTAATGTCAACTGGCAGCTTGAAAAGATACATTTACCGTAATCTTCTGATTACTTCGGCCTTCAAATCACTTACTTACACATATACATTATAATTTATCCTTCATTTCTGCTATCCTAGATATGAATACCAATATGTTGTGCCCTCCTGTTTGTTCGCAGTCTCCTTTAGCTTTATAGTGTTGGTTCGACCTTGTCTTCGCAACTTGGTCGGAACATCAAGGCTACCCTGTGGAACATACCTAGTCCCGTGTCCTCTGCCATACTATTCGTGATTTCCACTATTTGACCATTGGCTTGGTACATTCCCAGATGTTTCATTCTGCTATACTATGGACATGATGCTATTGAAATCCCATTCTATGTTTAGCTAGTACAATTTTGTATTCACGGAGAATTATTATTCTATTTTAAAGAATTTTTCTCTGACTAATTCTTTAGGATTTCCTTAAAGATTACATTTTTCCCCAGTTATTGTTTTTCTCTCAAAATTGATGCCGTTGTAATTGGCTTCTAGTCTAACATTATTATGTCACTTTCCATACTCGAATTTTACTAGTTGTCTAGTGACATTTCGGCCTTTAATTCCGCTTGCCCTTGATCTTTTAATTTTTGAGGTAATGCTTGGACCTAGCTTAGATTGATACAGTCTACTTTTGGTAAGTCTACTTTAATCTATTTGGCACTTCTAACCTAAAGTTCTACATTAAAAGCAATTATTCTCTTTAATTCTTCATTAACGGACGATTTTGGATTGCCTGAAGTGCACTACTTCTTTTGAATCAAAGTAATTAATATTTACGACTCCAGTGTCCATTTATATTTGATTTTTTGCTATATATTTGCTCTCACATACAGGAATTTACGGCAACTTCTAGCCGACGTCGCCAAGGTTCTCTTTGCAGTGCCCTGGAATCACATTCCACACCAACCTGCACGGCCTTATTAGGTACTAGTGCAAGCCAAGATTTTTCTTTTATCCAGACTGGTCCTGATCATTTTTCCGACAGGTTTCATTTACAAGGGGCTTCAGTCTCTCATCTCCACGACTGCTCAAATCAAGGCCTCTACTTCGGACTCCAGTCTCAGCCTAGTGAGCTTTCTTCCAATAACAACAGACATTTTCGAAATCATCAGGGCCTTCGATTTGGTTCACAACAAAGTCCCTACAACGACAGGCCGAATACTCATGGGTAAGAGTGTTCTCTAAAGTCCTAGAATAGGTCCTTTTTTATCGCGTTACTCTTTCATTATTTCAAAATGAACTTTTCATACTCCCTATACAGGTAATATACTAAAGTTAGGAAACAGAACTCGAAATGGAGTTGTTAGCGGTAGTCGAAACGCGATAGTGCAGCGTATAATCTCGTGAAAATATGGCGTTGTGGTTAACATGTCAAAATGGTTCATTTCCCCTGGGAGTTCTGAGGAGACCTAAGCGAGATCAGAACTGCAGTCCACCCTGGGTTCTATAAGTTCTATATAAGTTCTATTCGCATCATTGTGGGAAAGTTAAACTACCAGTCCTTCCATCATCTTACCAAAAAAGGTTTAATACATCTCACATATACGATCGATTGGTATTTTTGGAAACTTACTTATAAACGAATATTTAAAAGCAACGCTGTTTTTTAATATTTTTTTTTGTCCATCTTTTTGAATTTTCCTGGCGAGATGATCCTGCTCTTTTCAAAAACTTAACAATTGTTTGGAACAAATTTTTACTTCTTGTTTCTCGTGTAAGCCAATGGGGCTGGGGTCTTATTACAACTACTGGTACCGATAAGAGTTAGGTGAGATTTATACTAAGGTTCTCTTTGGATAATAATGACCTTTTGGAATCCTTAAAAGAGTGAAGATAAATGAATACTCAAATATTCTCTCAAATTCATTGTAAACATACTAGTTATCATTATAGCAAGCGATTACGCTAAACTGATTTACCTTAACAACAATATTGTTGAAATATGGAATCGAATCTAATGCAATTTTTATCAAGAATTTAGGTGCTCCGTCTTTCTCAAGAGAATTTAATGTTGTTTCGTTTGCATATTTTTCCCCTAACTACCTATACAGCCATACAGAGCCCTAGTTTTTGGCATATATTGATTTTAAACAGATTTTTTCGTTTTTAATTTCTTCGTATTTTGTTTCCTCTACTAATCTAGATTTCATAAGGCCTCTACTTTGCATTTTTTGCTTTTTAAGTTATTTTAAGACCCAAACTGATGACAGAGTTTGTTCATTTGTAACGTCTCATTTAGATACTCATCTTTAATTCGAACTATGTCGAGTGGTTGCATCCAGCAGCACTTCACTGACACTTCTACCGGTGCCAGCCTCTCCACTGAGCGTCGCGACCCTCCTGGTGCTGCTGATGGCGATTCCCTGATAAATGAGCAAACTAGCTTCAGACCTGCTAATAGAATAACTCATCTTTTTTCCAGTGATCCGCGCCTTGAAGGCGGGGAAATTTGTTGTGTTAATGGCACTGATTCCTATTATGCAGGAAATAGCTTCATTTGCAGTGACCATCGCGAAGAGGAAAGGACTTATGTCAGATCAGAGCGGTTGGCTTTCCCATCTGCCCAGACTGGCATATACGAGCATCATCATCTTTTCTGTCATGCTAAAACAGTTGCCTCTTCCTTTCCTTTTCATTTGTCAAGTGCCTCTGTATCTCTACCTAAGCTTTGCAATCTTAGCTCGGTCAGCCCCGGTGAGAATTTTGTGTCTGACTTGGTGGCCTGCGCACCCTGTCCGTCTAGCCAGCCGCTTATAACAGCCATCCCTTCAACCGTCGGTGGACAGAGTTGTCATCAGGCCTGGCAGATCGCATGCACGACACAAGCAGCTCATTTTGACGTTACAAGTAATGAAGTTAATCGGGCGGGCTTGATGCCAGGAGTTTCTAAGCTGGATCACTGGGACGATGGTATATATGACACCTATGCCAATATTGATAATTCACCCGGAAGTCAGATATCGCATTTCTGTAGTCCTGTGGAAGAACCAGAAGTGCATAGTCTTCGAGGTAAGGGGTATTTGGTAGTTCGTGTATGACTTACTAAATATATTCATGCTGTCTATCAAAATTGCTATGCTATGCTATATCTCGACGCGAAAAGACCTATCG